CCCCAAAACCCCAAAACCCCAAAACCCCTTGATTTGAAATTGATCAAAATTCGTAGATTTTATAAATACAGAAAAATCAGTTCATATTATTTATTAGTAAAATGCAAAGTTCCTACAAAAAGATTCTTAAAATTGCCATCATTGTTGAATTCAATCAATATAATAGGAACGTAAATGTTGCAAGCATTACATCAAGTTAATAAAATGGAGATATGCTTGAGTAGTTCCTATTACAACAATAGTTTAAAGTAACAAGGATTAATCATAACACGAATATGGAATCTCAAGTCAAATACATAGACTTACTAGACAACCAGTTCAATGAGCATTTTGAAGAGGCTAGAATCATCGGAAGACTTGGTGGAGATTACATTACAGAGGAAGGTGTTTGCCTATTAATTTATGTCAGATGCTAGAGTATTGTTCCAAAGGATTCAAGTGAGATAGAAATCTTTGATCCAAGTGGATATAGATTCTAAATAGAAAAAATGGGAAAGCTATTTGCAGAGATCAAGAATTGTGCAACATTTATTTACTTAGAATGCCCTAGGTCGAATCCATTAAATCTTCCTTAATCAAAGAAAATAATTTAATAGATTGATTAAACATAAGCTCAAGGACTACTCCTTATCTAGTATTGCTTTGCTTAAGGTTAATCATGGGATAGCATAAATGATTAATCTAGGAAAGAGTCTTTTAAAAGCTTCATTGAAAATCTATAAAACTTTTAATTAGGAGATTTTATGGAACATATTTCAAATATGCCACACAATTCTATCATTGGAAACAAAAAACTAGATCTAATATTCAATACAGCCTTTAGCCCCATAGATCTACCATCAGAGATTAAATAAATAAGAGAAACTGATTAACTAGAAGTATAAGTGAAGGAAATTTCTTAGTAAGAAGAGAATCACAAAAATTTGATATAGTAACTTTAAGATAAAATCAAATCATTAGAGGATAGACTCACTGATTCTGAAAGTTATAACTAAAAATTGGAAGATGAGCTGGAACTAGTAAAAAAGGATAAGGAAAGTGAGATATTAGTCCTTTAGGATAGAATCAAAGATATCCAAGAAGAATTAGTAAGCGCTAACTTAAATAGCCTAAACACTGAGAAGGCACGATCAATTGATGAATAATCATCAATAATTCAAGCAGATACGGAATCAACTAGCTATAAATTATCATAAAAGTGCGATAAGTACAAGCAAAAGGTTAAGGACAAAAAATTGAAAATTAAAGAGTTAAAACAGGAAAACAAAGAACATCATGATACTATCATTGCATTGAAGGAGCAAATATTAGAATTCAGCCAACATATGTAATATCGTACAAGTGAAAAAACCCATCATCAAGATGATTCATATTATTCTCATTCCTCATCTAAATCTTAGAAGAATGAGTAATAAAGAAATGAGGCCAAGGATTAAATCAAATTTTAAAGCCAAGATTATAAAGCTTTCTAAAATTCATCTTTTGACTAGTCAAATTATGACTAAAAGTAGCAAATTTAAGAAAACTCTTATGAAGAAAGTAAACAAGCTTATTTTAATGTAATAGAAAGGGAGGATCAATTTAATCTTTTTGATAGGCTCTAATAAGAGTAAAAAGTTGTCAAGACTCATACAAATATTATAGATGATCAAGTTAATCACTATGGTGCATCTAACGATTCCAAATATTTTGATCTATAATCAAATAATTCCCAAGGAAAATCTCAAAATAATGTATAGAAAATTTACATTTCTGAGAAAAGAGAAGATATTAGCAGTCAAGATTATAACGAAATAATGAAGGAAATCTAGTTTCAAGAATGGAAATAAAAGAAATTATAGGAGGAATAAGATAATAAGATTGCCTTGTAACTTAGGGAAGAAGAATAAAAGTAAATAGAGCAGAAGTAGATATTAATAGCATAGTAGACATTAAGGGATCAGGAATGTTAGCAATTCCAACAGAGAATCTTTAAAGCTCCATAATTTGAAGATCACTTACAGTAACAAGATTAAATATAAAACCTAAATTTGATTGATTAAAACAGTAGCCAGAACAAGGAATAATAAATTTCTACTCCCACAATGATGAGTAACACCACTGGATTTGAAGACTCTTTGATAATTAAGGAAGATGATATTAATTTGATTAGAGATTAAGTTGGAGCATCAGCCACATTTAGAAAAGTTTATGATAATGAGGAAGATTAGTAATTCGATAAACTTTAGATGGAATTAGAGGGGAAGAAAGGTTTGATATTCTTAACTAGAGCCAAAAATGCTAAGGGTGATGTAGTTGGTAGTTTTGGAGCCTATATTTCAATCCCTTATTAAGCATAAAAAGAACAGTCGTTCAAGGATTCTAAAGCTTTTATATTTTCTCTTGATAAGAAAATAGTTTTTCCATAAATAGACCCAACTGATTCAAATATTTCCTTAGGACCCTCAAAGATCATTTAAATGGGGAAAATTATTGAAGGTCTCGATAAGCATGCTGTTTAGCAATTGGATCTTGTTCTAAGGTAAAACGGATAAACTTCAAAGAGTTCGAGCAATATTGGTTAGTCATTTAAGTTACCATAAGGAGAGAATCAAAAAGTTTTGACCAATATTCTTATGTTCTTTATTGATAGATTGGAAGTTTACTAGATGGTAACTTATTGAGCCATTTATTGATCAAAAATTGAAAACATCATTCAGATTAAGTATAAACATCATCTGTTATTTCTTAAGATATTGATCTTGGATTTTATATTTAGATTATAATTTTTTCTCTATTGAAATGTTAATGACCAATTTGTAATTGTGGGGTTTTGGGGTTTTGGGGTTTTGGGG